ATAAATCATAATGAATTAAAATTAATACTAATTAAAAAATTATAATTAATTAGATTAATTATAATAATTTAATTAAAATTAATTAATAATTAATTACAATAATTATAATTAATTAAAAATAATAATTATAATTAATTAGAATTATTTAAAATAATTATAATTAAATATTTATAATAAGATTTTTTTTTTTTTAAATCCCTCTGTCCGGCGAATTTATGGGATTTGGCCGGAGAAGTGCGCGAGCAGGGAGAAAGTTACCTTCAATGCACGAGCTCCCGTCGGTTGCTCCGATCAGACAGGAAGAGAAGACGTCAGAGGAGCGAAGTCGAGCGGCCAGAAGGAGCCGGAGAAGCACTGGATGGGGAGGAAGTTAACCCCGCAGCCCGCGAGCTCCTATTTTTGGTTCCGAACAAAATGTAGTAACTTCCGGTTTGGCAGGAGGAGACGACGTCGTCGGAGGGAGCAAAGTCGGTCAGCGACCGAGGTGCCGAAGAAGCGCGTTAAAGGTAGAAAGCTATCTACACAGCAGCGAGCTTCCGTTCAAGCTTCCGAACAAAATGACGTAACTTCCGATCGGATAAGAAGGAACGTCGTCGAGCAGGTGAAGTCGAGCAACAGCAAAGAGGCCGGAGAAGCGCACGACCGAGAGAAAGTTATCTTCGCAGCGAGCGGCTCCTGTCTTGCTTCCGACCAAAATGACGTAACTTCCGATCCGTTAGGAAGGGAGGAAGTCACCTCCCCAGCTGCGAGCTCCTGTCTTGCTTCCGACCCGACCAAAGGGGAAAGTCGTCGAGGCGAGTCGATCAGCAGCGAAGGATTCGGAGAAGCAACGACAGAGAGGGAATGAGAGAAGGAGAGCGATCGAGAGAGAAAGAGAGCGGGGGTCAGTCGAACGAGGCCTTCGGCCTCGTTTTCTTTAGCTCTTTAACGACTTGAATGCGTCGTGGGAGAGGGGAGCGGGATCGGACAAGCTTCAGCGCAGGTAAGCTCCCGTTCTTGCTTCCGATTAAAGTGTAGTAACTTCCGCTCAAACAGGATGGAACGTCGTCGATCAAGCGAAGTTGCACAGTTACGAAGAGCCGGAGATGGGATGAGAGCGAGAGAGTGAGAGAGAGCGCCGAGATTGATCAGAGAGTTCGGGAGAAGAGAGCCCGAGCTCTCTCATTTCTTTCGGCTTTAACGTCGCAAGGTCGTGCTAGGAAGAGCAGCGACGTCGTGCGAAGAAATGACGCTGGATCGTGCGTAGGTACGGTGACGACGTGCGACGAGCATAGTAGGTAGGATTTGATTTATTTTCTCCTCTTCTTTTTTTTGTTAATTGTTTACGGGTCAACACTCTCGAATCGAAGAACATTGTATCTTTCTTATTGTTTTTGCTTCTACTATTGAAATACAATAGTTTTGTGCAATTTCTTCTCAGATTTCTCGCGTTTTCTTCCTGTTTCTCCCTATTTCCTGGCTGATTTCTGCTGTGGACAGCAGTTTGGCATTGGTTCTTCTTGGTTTTGGGTAAGAAACACTTGGAAATCCAAGTGTTTCCTATCACTAGCACTGGAACTACTCCAACATTTTACATATATGCTTCTTTCACAATTTTTCTCTAAGAGTAAAACCACTCATCCACCTGATCATCCTCATCTCTGCAACAGTTAACTTAATTGGATGATTTTCTTTTAATAGCCAACATTATGCACCATAAAACATTGTATGTCTCACCACCATCGTATAGAATTTTCCCTTAAGTTTGATGGGTATTTTTCTATCACACAACAGGCCCTATGCATTCCTTTACCATCACTCTAGACAATAGACCCAAGATATTTAAAATGTGTACTCTTATTAATGACTTGATCCACCAAAGTCAAAATCCCCCCATTAGATTTATTACTACTAAAGTTACACTTCATGTGTTCATTTTCGTTCAACATATATTAATTTTATTGGAATTAACCATAGGTTCAAGAATGAAAATAATGTTGAGATGATGCATTTTGAAGAGGTTTCTATTTATCTTTTTTTGTTTGGGATTTAACGATGCCTTTAATATTCCAAATCGACATTAAAATCATTAAGATTATATGTTCACATACTTATGTTGATTTGTTAAAGACTCCTAGGTTTGTTTTCCTTTTCCCTATGTAGGGTTATGCATTTGTCTTGTTTATGTGAAATACATTTAAGAATTTTAGGGATTCACTTTTCTTTATGTAGAGAATTATGCTGCCCATTATTGGCTTGGGAACTTTTTTATTTTCATATTTCGATTGAGTTTGAAGCATTCATTATTTCTGTGCTTAAAATAATGATAATAGTGCATTGTTTAAGAAAAGGTTTTTTAAACTACTTGGCAACACCAATTTTCAAGAGAGCATTTAAACTCTTGGTGATTCAAAATATCTAATTTGAGTAAAATACAAGCACTAAGTTATCTATAAACATTCGTGAGTAGCCATATCAATTTGCATCAGTTTTCGGAATATTTTTCCTATAGAAAAAGTGTCTTATGGTTAATATGGTATTCTTGGTAATTATCGAGTAAAGGTGATCAAATTTTTATCCATGATAAAAGAACCCTTACTCTTGTATGTGCAATGAAAAAATTTCTCGGATAATCTCTCATTAGAATGATAAATGAATATGTGTGTGAAGTTATACTAGTTCACCAATACAGTTCCGAGCAAACCAAGCCTAGAAAAAATATTTTCAAGACATCCAAATGTGATGGCTAGAAGAGATCTCTCAATGAGGGTAAAATCTCTTTATCAGCGAAGAAAATAACTTCCATCCTCTTAAAGACGATAAGTTCTTTTTTATCCACCATTGGAGACTTATTTTTCTTAAGAGCCTCAAGAAATGACATCATGTAAAAAGAAGCCACTTTTACGGCAAGGAGAGTTTGATGTAATGTTACTAGAAAGATTCAACGTTGAGGATGACATCAATAGCGTCCAGCACCAATGGCATTGATGATGAGCCCAAAATCTTATCAACTATGAAGAAATGGTGGTCAAACCAAGCTATGGAAGAGGAAAGGAAACAATTCCTTAAACTTTAATAGAGGAAAGGTATCCTAGGACCATGTGAAGTGGAGTTCGAAGTTTGGGATTTGTAGTTCTTGGCTAAGCTAAGGTTAAGGGTGTCTACCTAGGAGGCCATATATGATTGGCTCTACAATAGAGCGAAGGTAGTCTCTTAGACCAGGCTTGGCAAAATTCAAGTTTAGTTAATCTCATTAAAAAATGAGGTCAACAAATGGACTTTAAATATGCATGGCGGACTTAGCAAAAATACGCTACAATTGTATTGGCATTGATTAAATTAAGGGTGTTTTTAGAATTTCTTTTTTTTGTCTTATTCCTTGGTAGCATCATGGAAAATATCGAACATAATTCTTTAAGTAACAACCTTTGGTTGGAGAAATGAAGTGTTGGTTTTTAGGTCATTAGGTTGATTGGCTTGGCCTTTATGCTTCTTAATAATGAGAGGCACCTCTTAGTTTGGTTCAAAATTCCTGCCAACTTTATGTTGAGGGATGATTGGTCTGCACAACATCAAGACCATTTTTTTTGAATTGTCTAGGGGCACTCCATACAATTGAAAGACCTCTCTATAGTTGCCTGATAATTATCTAGGTTTATGAATAACATATTTACATTTAAAATCCTGTGGTATATTTTGAATATTCAAACTTTAATATTGTCATATCCAGACAATATAGGTAATAAAAAATAGAAATTCCATTTAAATATATATCTACTTTAATTAGTTATTTTAATTACAACCAAATTACTCTAATAACTGTGCATTTTATTAGCTGAATGGGTGCTTATCCTTTTTGGTATTCTGAAGTCATATGCATGGGGAATGGTTACGCAAGCAGCAGTTTTCAATGAATGCAACAGAGGAAACCAGGTGGAGAATTGTAGATTCAATTCGGCTTGGTGGTAGAGGGCGGCATAGTGATCCATTCTAAAGAATTTTTTTGATTGAGCCGCATAGCAGAACTTCCTATATTTGAATCGGCAGTGCACATGTAAGTTTGGCATAGTGCAGAATACACTTGCTGTATTCGGAATAGTGTTCCTGAGAATTTCAGTTTCTGTACAGTTCGGCTACTGTGGAGGAGGGTTTTGGCACTGTTGACTGGAATGAAATTCGGTGAAAGCAGTGCAATTCATATTACTGTGCAGTGAAGTGTGTGGGAAGAAGATTTTGTGAAATACAAAATTTAGGTAAGTAAACTTGCAATTAAATGTAACAAGATTCGCTAGGATTTGGATGTGATTAATATGAAATTGTGTGATGAACTGTAGTTTGATATAAGGGTGAGTATGAATTGAAGACAGTGAAGAAAGCCTAGAAAGGAAATTTAAAGGAAAAAGAAGGTAAGAAGTATACTATTTATTGTTATCTTTTATATTATATAAATTTAGTAACATTTCTAAAAGGTGATAACCTAGTCGGATTGTAGGATTATTCGTATATTTATGCAGAAAGAAGGTTTTGGGTTAGTGTATCAAAGAAGAAGGTTACGTCGTGTAGGTTGGGAAGAGACCACTCTTCAAGGAAGTAAGTTGTGTAAGTTAAGGAAGTAAGTTGTGTAAGTTTAGTACACAAATGCCATAATTATTGATTCTGCATATATTTATAATGCTTTATGAATATTCCAATAATGATAATGAGTATATTCCAATGTTGTCATGGATGATTGATCACTTGCTTACATTTATTATTAATGTTAAAATTAAAATGTACAATGATGAGTTGAATGTTTTCATAGTCGATATTAAATTGATAGGAATTCATTAAAGTTTATATTGACAAGGTATTCTAGTATGTAATTAGTGTAAGATACAGAAGGTACATATTCTTATAGCATTTTATATATTGCAAATCATGTATAACTTATGAATACGTAAAGTATATGGAATATCAAATTTAAGTAAAGATTGATTATTTTATGATATATTGTCCGCAATATTAGGTGGGCAAAAGAGATCCAAATATGAAAACTGTATTATAGGTGGGACAATAGGGACCCCAGGAGAAAAGATATCTGCATAGTAGGTGGGGCAAAAGTGACCCCTAAAGTGGCAAAAGTGACATCTATGTAATTCAACGGTGATAATGCCAGGTTTACTTGAGTTCCATTGAATATTGTTATGAAAGTGTATCCAAATCTTTTACAGATTAAAATTGATATTTATTGTAAACTCCAAATGAAGTAAAGAATAATGTTAATTATAATTTTACAATGTTTCAGTGATGATTTCAATATTTTGATTTGTTCCTGTAGAAATCCTACAAAACAAGGATTAGGAAAAGCAGAGAAATGTAAAACAGGAAATGCAAGATAAGCTTTCGATCCTTCATTTCATCCGTGAGAGACATGCTACAGTGCAGCAGTATATAAAGAAAAGGTTTGTTAGAAAGGAATGGTTAGGATGAAGTGGCAGTAATCCCACGGTTAGCACATAATCCAGTAATTTTAATGATTGTTAGCGGTTCAGAGAAGTGGAGCTGTGAGCCGGCTTATCAATAGCTGTTATCTTATCATCCCCCGCAAGCTAACGATAGGTGGCTGAACAGTTAGCTTGGAACGAAGATTGCTAAACCGAAGAGAAGAACGTGACTTAGTGAAGAGGTTAGCTGGTTGGTCCTGAGAGGCAATATGATGAACTGTAATTTGTTGCCTTTTGATGTAGTCACGAATAAAGTGATAATCTATTTCGATCTGCTTTGTACGAGCATGTAAAACAGGATTGACTGCTAGAGCAAGAGCTGACACATTGTCACAAAAGAGCTTTGTTGGAGATGAATTAATACCAAATTCAGTAAGTAAACTTTGCAGCCATATGATATCACAAGCTGCAGTGGCGATAGCCCGATACTCAGCTTCTGTCGAGGAATGAGCAATAGCTGTTTGCTTCTTAACAATCCATGAGATCAAGGTTTCACCTAAGAAGGCACAATAACCAGCAATGGATTTTCTATCAGTTGAATCAGAAGCCCAATCTGAGTCAGAAAAGGCAGTAAGTTGCAATGTGGACCGTAGAATGGGTAATCCATAATGTATGGTGCCTTTAATATATCTGAGAAGCCGCTTAAGCAGTTGGAAGTGAAAAAGCTGAGGATGATGCATGTGCTGACATAAAAGATTAACAGCAAACATGATATCTGGGCGGCTTAAGGTTAAGTAATACAATGAACCAACCAAATTCCGGTAGAGTTCCGGATGTGGAAAGGGAACTGAGTTTTCAGGTGAAACCCAAATTTTAAGGGGTAAAGGAGTGTTCACGGGACGGGATTCAGACATACCAGCACGGTTGAGAAGATCTGCAACATATTTTGACTGATTTAGATGTAGGCCATTGGGTTGTTGTGTAACCTGCAAGCCAAGGAAGAATGAGACCGGACCGAGATTCTTCATATTAAAGATCATTCAACAGCTTTGCAATGGAAGAAGGATTGGATCCCGTGAGTAAGATGTCATCGACATATACAAGGATATACATACGAACATCGCCGTGATGATATAAAAGGAGAGATTGATCAGCCGTGCTGTTCATAAAGCCATATGTCAGTAAATATGATGAAAGAGTAGCAAACTATTGACGAGGAGCTTGCTTGAGTCCATACAGAGCCTTCTTAAGCAAACAGACATGATTTTCTTTTTAGGATCTACAAACCCTTTGGGTTGTGACATATAAACGATTTCATCAAGATGTCCATGTAAAAAGGCATTTGAAATATCCAATTGTAAGACAGTCCAATTATAGGCAACGACAAGTGTAAGAAGAATACGAATTGTTGGAAATTTGGCAACTGGACTGAATGTATCATGAAAATCTAAACCAAATTCTTGTTTAAAACCTTGAGCTACCGAGCTTTATGGCGAGCAATTGTCCCGTCGGAGTTGAATTTGGTTTTAAAGATCCACATACAACCCAATACATTTTGATTTGGTGAAGGAGGTACTAAAATCCAGGTACCTTGTTTTTGTAAAGCATCAAACTCGATACTCATAGCCTGATGCCAAGTTGAAGATTGAGCAGCTTGAGTGTAATTGGTGGGAGTAGGTGGTGTGACAGAGTGCTGAAGATCAAGTATTTTGGTAGGCTTGAGTTTGCCAGATTTGAATCGTGTAACCATAGGGTGTTGAGAAGGTATAGTAGGCTGTAGGGATGGTAGAGCTGAAGAAGTATTGGGCGGTATAGGCTCAGCTGTAGGAATAGAAGAAGAAATTGGAGATGTGGAAGAGAGATTTTTTGGGTTAGCAAACGTAGTAGTTGAAGATACCGAGTTGGTAGGTGGTGATACGATTGAAATCGGGACAAGCATAGATGGTGGAACATGAATTGGAGGTGTTGTAGGAATGGGAGGTGATATAATAGCATGAAAGGGAAATTCAGATTCATGAAATGTGACATGACGAGATAAATAAATACGACCCGTAGGTATATGAAGACATTTATAACCTTTAGAATGAGAGGCATATCCGAGAAACACACAAGAAATAGTGCGAGGAGCTAATTTATGAGAGAAAATAGTGGGTAACAAAGGGTAGCAGAGACAACCAAAAGTGCGTAAATGTGTATAAATTGGTGGTTTATTATATAGAAGTTCATAAGGAGACTTATGTTGAAGTATTGGGGAGTATAAGATAGGCTGCAGTTTCAAGAGCATCAAACCACCACTTTGTAGGAACATTAGCATGAAATAGAAGAGCACGAACAGTTTCAAGTAAATGACGATGTTTGCGCTCAGAGACACCATTCTGTTGAGGAGTATAGGGACATGTGGTTTGGTGTATGATGCCACACTGGATCAATGTGGATTTGAAGGTATTACTCGTATATTTGCCCCCTCGGTCTGATCGAAGAATTTTAATTGGTTTCTGAAATTTCCTCTCAACTAAAGATTTAAAATGCAGAAACTTAGAAAACGTATCGGATTTATTAAACAAAGGATAAATCCAAGTATAACGAGTAAAGTCATCCATACATCCGTGTGTATGGTTGAATTGACAAAATTGAGGAAGGATCCCATACATCCGTGTGTATTAATTCTAAAAATTTAGTCCTAATAGAAGATAAAGAAAAAGGAAGACGAGTACATTTAGCACGAGAACAAGCTGAACAATGAGACATACTAGGAGAAAGTTTTCTGATATCTATTTCTTTAGAAAGAAATAACCGAGTAGCCACGGAAGGGTGTCCCAAACGTTGATGCCAGAGAGAGGAAGATATGTAATTGGCCGTGAGAGCTGGAATGTGAGATCTGTCGGGTGAGCTAATAGGGTAGAGTCCTTGTTGACTCGGACCTCTGAGGAGGGTCCGGTTGGTCCGGGAATCCTTTATAACATAGCCTTTGGATTCAAAACATACAAGGCAAGAATTATCTTTGGTTAGTTTATGAATAGAAATTAGATAGGTGTGGGACATGAAAAATTTTAGATAAATAGAGCTCACGAGAGGGTGTGGGGAGAAGGCCTTGATCGGTATCAGAGATAGGTAAGAGCTGACCATTTCTAACTTGGACATTAGAACTACCAGAGTAATGTTGAGGTTGCTGCAGTTGAGAAACATCCGACATGAGATGATTACTAGCTCAAGAATCAAGGAACCAATCTGCAGAAACTTGATTGTCGGTTGCCATATAAGCTTGAGGTGAGGACTGATAGGTTGTCCAACAATTCACAGCTGAGTGACCAGATTTTGCGCAAATCTGACATTCAATAGAGGAGCGGGGTGGTCAACCACCACGATTAGAGTTATTAGCAAATTGTCCAGAGCCGGAGTCAGTACGACCACGACCACGTCCAGATGCAACAGAGCGACCACGGTTTGAAGATTGATAGGATCCACGACCACGAAACCGCCCTCTTGTGGTGGCTAAGGCATACGTCTGATCTGAGGAGGGTGACGTATATGTGGCCCGGGCTGTCTCAGCGGCGATATTAAGCTCCTCACTACATAGGAGCGAATAAAAATCATCAAGATTTATCGGTTGTAACTGAGTACGAAGAGCCGTTTTGAAGCCTTGATAGGTCGGTGGTAGACCATTGAGCGTGTATAGTATTATATCTTCAGTGGGTACAGAAGAACCGATTGCGGTAATAGCATCAATTTTTTGTTTGATAACAGACAAGTATTGGACCATAGATTGATCATTCATTTGAATATGATGCAACTCGTTTTTCAACTGTAATAAATGAGATCTGTTGGACGATTGAAGTCGGCGCTCAATGGTAACCCAGATCTCATGACAGCTATCTAGGTTAAGCACATACGGAAGAAGGGATGATCCGATTGTAGAATAGATGGCAGCAGCAAGGTTTTGATCAATTAAAAACCAAGTGTAAAAGAGAGGATTGGGAGATAATCTGCCATCTAGATTTTTTACTTGTTTGGAACGTTTTGAAGCTGCGCCAGTAAGAAAGTCTTCAAAACCATTAGCCAAGAACAATTAGTAGACTTGAGCCTTCCAAACTGGATAGTTTTCTGTGGAGAGCTGAGTATTAACTAAGGTCTTGATAGTGGACATGAAGAACTTCAGCTTGGGCGGAATGGTAGGATCACTGTCGACGGCGACAGTGTGAAGAGTTGCTGAAGAAGAGGAGGAAGATGAATTCGCCATTGCAGAAAAGAACTATTCCGAAGGCTTTGATACCATGTAGAAATCCTACAAAACAAGGATTAGGAAAAGCAGAGAAATGTAAAACACGAAATGCAAGAAAAGCTTTCGATCCTTCATTTCATCCGTGAGAGACAAATGCTACAGTGCAGCATTATATAAAGAAAAGGTTTGTTAGAAAGGAACGGTTAGGATGAAGTGGCAGTAATCCCACGATTAACACATAATCCAGTAATTTTAATGATTGTTAGCGGTTCAGAGAAGTGGAGCTGTGAGCCGGCTTATCAATAGCTGTTATCTTATCAGTTCCTATTATTGTCTTTTAAATGTTAATTAATTTGCATAATTTATTGAGCCTCATAGCTTACCAGTATTTTCTTACGAGTTGTTATTACAGGAAAGGGAAAAGAGAAAATTATTTCAGATTAATTTTGCAAGTTATTATTATTATTTTTTTAAGGTTATCTTTGTTAGAAAGTCTACTTGTGAGGTATGAAAATATTTCAGAAATGAATTTTATTTGGATTTTCTTAGTGGCTCTGTAAATATGTTTATTGAAGTTTTAATTTATTAGTTGCTTTCGTTGATGTATTAATTGAAATATGGTTGATTGTCTTATATGAATTTTCAATGTGAGAAATTGTAATAAATGTTTTGAGAAGGAAAAATATTATATTATGTTCACTCTATGGTACTGTTAAAGGGTACTATGAGGTGTTACAAATATGTTGCTGAATTTATGTTTTTTTTCCTAATAATATGAATAATATCCCTTTAAGTCTGGATAAATTGATTTATTCTTGTAAGCGTTAAAATTAGAGTATTCCAATATCTGATTTAGCGCTTTAAGTGAATTTACCCCACCAAAGCTAGTGTGTGATGGTTCCGACCATATTGCTTATACCTTGAAGAGGTAAAAGTGGCTAAAATGGAGGAAGAGTACTTGTCCAACCCGCTTTGAATGTCGTCTCTGCTGCAATGAACTCGCTGGTGTTGGTATTTGAGGAAGAAGAAAACAACAGGAAAGAGGACCCAGTTTGATGTTTTTCACTAACCCGTGAACCTAATTTCAGATAAGATACCATGGACTGGCAGAAGCTAGTTACAGAACATCCTCCCCCCATATTTATGCTTCTCTCCTTTGGGTATTATTTGTTTCTTATTTTTTTTCAGTAAGTAATTTGTTTTCTTTCATGTGTGCAATGAATGAACCTTCTATTGATATCAGCAATGGATCGAGGTCAAACGTTTTATGGTTTTAATTGGGCTTAGAGGCAAATAATATGAACTAACAAATTCAAGGGTGTTATTTCATATTTATTAATATGTCACATTTGGTATTTTCTGTGTTTATCATTCCTTTAAATGATTTATTTTGTTTTCAGCAATGGCATTGTTAAAGTTAAATCATAATTTTTTATTTTTAATTGTAGTGCTTCTCTTCAAATTACTTTCTCTTTTAGCCTGTAAACGTGTTGCATTCTGTACCATCAATTATAGTGGTTGAGTTTTAGAATTGATCTATTTTTTTGAGAAACTCATTGATAAATTTAGTTGAATATTTGATGAAGATTACTTAATTTTGATGACACGATCTTTCTCAAATTTTAATAATGATTTTTTTTTTCTTTCATGCAGGGTGTGGGGTTGAATTTAGAGAATGCTCTTGCGTTTTGGAGAGCTGAGTTCTCACAAAAGGTTCTGTTGCTTCGAAATGTTTTTAGCTTTCAGCATTTCTTGGTTGACTTGTTTGTGATTATTACTGCAAATGCCATTATTAGCTGAAAAGGGACTTAATCAAGCCTTTGAATAGTTACAAGCATCTCATCACCTTTCATTCATTGGTTAATGGTGGTTTAATTATGCGTATTTTCACAAATTTGACCCAAAGTAATTGGGATTAGGCTAATGGTTATGATATTTTTCAGTAGATGTAGATATGTCAAATTTTGTTTTCTGGTTCCAAGAATGTCATTAGCTTAATTTTAATATTTGTTATCTTGTTGGTTGATTCATTTCTTCTTTCTACATATGGACCTGTACTGTTATGCATATTGTATCATCAATAATATTTTATTTGAAGTTTGACCTTTAGTCCCATGTGATTGATGTCTTCATGCTTCTTGGTTAGTGGACGTAAATATACATCCACGTTCTCCTTGCTACTCCTTTGTTGTTCTTGATTTTTAAGTTTATAGGCACCTTATAACTCACCCTGTGCTGTGTGGCTATTTAAATTGATATAGTTCTCACTAGCCACTTGGACAGATCAGTGCTGCTTTCTTAAAGCTTATAATGCAGTTTTTATATTTTATTTTGTTTGAATATATGGGAGATTGCATTCAAAGGTTGACAGTGTGGTTGATTTATCTTTTCCCTTTTTTTAACTATTGAAGTTTGTTTTGCAACTCGATTGGTGGCTATGATAATATTTGATTTATCCATGAATTAAGGTGGAAATGATACCATAATAGCGATTAGGCACTATTGTTTCTGACAGGAAACACTTGAAGATTTCGAGTAATTCCTATCAAGAGAGCAAAAACAACGAGAAAATGCTTCTAAACTTGAATGGAAAATAACAAAACAGTAATTTTATTGCATGAAATCCAATAATACGGAAAGGAAAGAGCAATGTACAATTAATCCTCTATTCAAGAGGAGGATTGTTCTCTCTGAATTTCTAGATGCCGCTAGAGCCTAAAGGAAACATAACCCTAAGAGATCTCAAATTTCAACCAAATTCAAGATGCCCTAAGCCTACGAAAACAAACTAATTAATGCATACAAATCAAAAGGAAATTCCTAAACAGTCACTACCACTACAGGAAAACCCGTTATTACCGGTGGACTAAATCCGCCGGAACACATAGATAATCCGACGGAACCATAAGTTTCCGGCGCACGTTTCGGCGGAAATGCATACGCCGGTTTCGGTCGCGTCGATAAATTTTTTCCGACGAATATAATGCGCCGGAAAACTTTCCGGCGCACTTACCGACGCCTTACCGGCGTAAAACATCGGATTGGTGCTGATGACTCACAACCGATAAATTCCGGCGACATATGCGCCGGTAAGTTTCTGTCGGATTGTCCGTCGGTAAGTACCGGCGGACAAAACGCCGCAAGGTCGCCGTAGACAACCCAAGGCTTTGTTTGCGGCGCAAAATTGGCGCCGGAAAGAAGCGGCGAAAATGGCGCCGGAACATGCGCCGGTAGTTGCCGACGGAAGGAAGACGTCGATACGTCCGATACAATTCGTTGTATCGTTCTTTCCGGCGGATTTCCGGCGTACAATCCGCCAGAAACCTGTAGCATTGACAAAAAAAAATTCCTTCCCAGCCAACAATCAAATTTCCACACCTGCAAACGAATACAAATAACAATTCCACAACATTTCAATAGTAACATTTCAACAGATTAACATTTTATAACAAATTCACAACAGTTTATAACATTAAAAGAAACTGTTCAATAGTAACAATCAACAAAAAAACATCAGATTAGAAAGAACTGTCAATAACACATGTTCACAGAAATAAATAAGTTCATGTAAACCTAAATTAACTCACTCTGAATCCGTGGATCCTCCTCAGGTGGAGCTACGTCTTTTTCATTTAGCTGATCCCTCATCTTGCCTTTCAATCCAACAACTGATTGTGTTGTCCGTACTTGTTGATTGTGCTTGCAGCGAGCTTGAACCTGTGCCTGCCAGCTGAGCTTGCCAAATTAGCTTGTGCATGTTCCTTACTTATTCTAGCTCAGCTTGAAGGCACTTATTTGTTGAGCTTGTAGGAAGTCATGAGAAACGGATCGACAGCTGGATGCAGTTGGGAGGTCATCCCCCTCGTATGCCGTGAGCTTTGCGCACCTAAGTCATATACTTACCATGCTCGCATTCTCTGAGGCTGCGACAGATGCGATACTCAGAATACTCCACAGAGCCAGCGAGAAGCCTCACCTGATCGGCATGAGTCTTCACACAGCGTGTATAATCCTCCTGTGAATGTATATATAATATAATAGTTATTCTTAGTAAACTAAACTTAAAAAATTTAAACTATATAATAAATATACTTACATCGGGCTTTTCTTGATCTCTTCATCAATCCACGGTTTGTCCTGCTGTCCTTAGAGCTGCAACTATGCAATTCAACAGGAGTTTTCTCTACCAGATCCGCTTTCTGTTAGGAAATTAAGAAGGAATTTTATTAATAAGATTAAAGAAAAATTTTAAAAAATATTTAAAATTCAATTAGCCAAACGACGCCTGGATCACTATGTGGAACAGAGCCGCATGTATGAGGTGAACTACCCAACACACCAACATCAGAAGCTCTGTTCTGTTCGATTTTGAATCCTCCTCCTACTGTACTCTTCGCTGCCCCAAAGCTGCATTCAACTCAGCCCATATAACCTCTCCTCCACAATGTCGCTTCCCGACTTTCTGAATATTGTGTGAGACTGTGATGTATGTCGCGTATTCCGAGTAGCCTCATCCGCTTCTCAAATTCTTTATCTAATCTAGGGACGATTTTGTCTGGGGCAGCCAACAAAAACTCTTCTCTAGCAATCAAATACATAATGACATATAAATTAAGATTATTAGCTTAAGTAAAAGAATAAATTCATTATTAACTCATAAGAAACTAAACCCAAAAGTACCTCAAACTCTCTACAACACATCTTCCGGACTCCTTCGGTGACTTTCTTCCAAGAAACATAAGGAACGTAAACCTGCTCCGTATGATGTCCCCGTATTTTATGTGTCGGTTGTTTTTGATGGGTAGAACCTACAAAATAAAGTTATGTAAAACAATATAAAATATAAAATAAAAAAAATTCGTTAGTTTAAATAAAAGAGACTGTACGTACGTGTCACCCTCAGGTGCTATCAACATTCTACATCTGTCTCCTGCTCTGCTCGCAGCTGCTGTCGAAGTCCCAGCTGCTGTCGAAGGTCAGCTGTAGCAGACTGATGGGTTGTTGGGGATAGTATGGTGGAGCAATATGGTGAAAATTGATAAGTAGGAGGGGCACCAGCATACGGTGGGGGTGTGTAGTATGGGTAGAAAGGAGTACTCTGACTGAGATCTGGTGAAGAAAATCGGGGGTCTGGTGAGTAAAACTGCGGGCTAAACTCTCATGAGTGGGTAAAGGCTGTGTAGCAGCTGCTAGCGAGGTGGTCCCCTCAGTACGTAGTGGCCTAGGTGGTCCACTAGTACTCTTCTTAGTGCGCCTGTTAAATATATTTTTTATCAATCCTCTCTAGGCTCCTCACTGAAGCATCTGCAATATACATAAAAAAATATATTAGAAATATGAGAATAACAAAATTAAAAAAAAATGATGCAGTGCAGTAGCTAAAAAAAATACAGTGAAGTAAAATGCAGTGAAGTAAATATTGCAGTGCAGTAGCTAAAAAAAATGCAGTGAAGTAAAATGCAGTGAAGTAAAATAAAATGCAGTGCAGTAGGTAAAAAAAATTTAAGTTACCTTATGTTGTTAACCTCATCATTTGTTGATTCACTTGCATAAGATATACACTCCATTGCTATCAGATTCCATCATTACTTTTCTCTATGGTTAGACTACGCCTCCTCTAACTGCAACTTCGCTCTTATTAATTCTGATTTGGTCATCTACATTGATTGGGAGATTTTTTAAATTGACATAAACTCTTCTTGATGTGCTGATGGCTATTGAGGTGGTTTTCTCAATTACTCTCTTGGTTTTTGTCTTCATAACTATCAGCCATATCTTGTTTGCCCTCGTACTCCGCTTGGATAGTTAGCATAATAGACTTGAACTTGCCTGACTAGCATGATGAAAGGATTAAACTTTGCATATCTTTCTAGCTCCGCTTTACTTCTGTTATACCGTAAATTGGATGACTTTCGTGCCTCTATTTGGTAATGGATCAAACCATTCCACAATTGAAGAGATACACAGTATTTGCTCTGACCGGGATATTCAACCTCTAATATTTCTTGTAATACCCCGTAGTATTCAGAATCATCTCCTGTATGGGTGTTCCTCTTACACATAACGCCCTAAATTTTCTGTCTCCTACCTTCACACAAATTTTTGTTTGGAATTTATAACCTTAGGATCTCAAATATTTGATAAACATTTTACTAATCTATTTGGTCCCAAGCTAACTCAGATAACTTGAATACTGCGAACTGTCTTCAGTGTGTACCTTTAAATGTAACAAGATGTTATTGTTACTAAATATTAATTGCAGAAATAATTAACTCATTAAGTAAGAATAATTATCTAAAATATACCGTATTTTTAAACCAAGTCGTGAATTCTTTTTCCATTATCTTCTGGACTTCTCCTTCTTCTGATGTACTAAGATCCATCAATGAACCTCCTACAAATTCCATATCTTGAGTTTAGAACACAGTCTAAAAGGACACCGAAAATATAAAACAACTTAACTCATACTAATCGAGATATGGCTCCACTTCATACAGTTAAGCAAGATGTACAATGTGAAACATGCCATCTCCATTCGGTCAAATAGCGCACAGTGCTAGCGCCTAAAGCGTTCCCCATTCCATTGAATACAGATATCTTAGAGGATTTACCAACATTTTGAGATGCTGAACTTTCACCTGATTGAGATAATTGTTTCAAAATATATACGAGCATAAACTGAGTTGTCTCATATATTAAATAGCTTCACAGAT